AAATAAATATTTGACATGTGTCAAATTTTGTAGGTGCGAACATTACAAATCTTATAATATTATTATTCCATTTCTGTGATTCATGAATTCAAACGTTAAAGCTATTATTAATTAGAATATCATCATTAATTAATATTTTTTGTTATAAATCTCATTTAAATTGCTTCATTTTAATCATTATATATAAAATCAGCTGATTTTGACAGAGATTATGTTTATAAAAAAAATAAATATTTGACATGTGTCAAATTTTGTAGCTGCGAACATTACAAATCTTATAATATTATTATTCAATTTCTTTGACTCATGAATTCAAACGTTAAAGCTATTATTAATTAGAACATCATCATTAATTAATATTTTTTGTTATAAATCTCATTTAAATTGCTTAATTTTAATCATTATAGATAAAATCAGCTGATTTTGACAGAGCTTATGTTTATAAAAAAATAAATATTTGACATGTGTCAAATTTTGTAGATGCGAACATTACAAATCTTATAATATTATTATTCAATTTCTTTGACTCATGAATTCAAACGTTAAAGCTATTATTAATTAGAATATCATCATTAATTAATATTTTTTGTTTATAAACCTCATTAAAATTGCTTAATTTTAATCATTATATATAAAATCAGCTGATTTTCACAGCTTATGTTTATTAAAAAATAAATATTTAACATGTATCAAATTTTGTAATTGCAATCAGTACACATTTTAATGGAATATTATGAAGTAAATTTTAATACATATTCAATTAATAATGTAATTAATTAACAGAAAAGAATATTTTATAAATCTCATTTGAATTGTTTAAGTTTAATAATTAAATATTGAATCAACTGATTTTGACTGAAGATATTATATTTGACATGTGTCAGTATTATAGATGCAAACACTACCAAACTGATATAAATAATTAACTATTAAATTGTTTAACCATTTGATGAAGTAAATGACGATACTAATTGAAATAATGTTATTAATTATTATAAAGAAAATAAACGTTTATGTAATATTAATTTCTTGTCGAATTTTTAATTTTTTTTTAATTAAATCAGCTGATTTTGACAGACCTTCATGTTTATTCAAATAAACATCTGACATGTGTCAATTTTATAATTATCACTAGTAAAGACGAAAATTAATAAATCGAATTAAAAAAAAAATGTAATATAGAACAATAATTCAGTGCGTTCAAATTTTATTTAATTACTAACTACAAACACACAAACTACATGAAACAAACTAATTTCAATAATTTTCTATAAATTCTCCATCAGAGTATTCGCTCTCGTCGAAACACGACCCAATCCTTTCCACTTGATTCTAAAAAAAAACAAAAAAACATTTAGTTAACTTAAGTAATTACACAAATCGATAAGTTAGAAGCACTTAATTTCAATTTCATGACTGTTTTGTCATGACAGAAAAATTTAAAACTAGTGAAGGAAAAGATAAGTAAATCGTTTTTAGTAGTTTTAAGTAGTTAAAGAGATTATGTTAAGGTTGGTTACTGGACCAATCCCTTGACTTCTTTTGTTTTAATTGTCACCAGTCAAGTTCATTTACTCATGTGAGATAGATGGCCGGAAAAAAAAATTACATAAGTTTTAAAATAAATATGACAGCTGTCATAAATGACATAACGGAAACATTTGATTATATTTTTGATTTTTTCCGTTGTATTATTGAAGAAAAAAACTCATTTAAATCGTAGTATAATATGTAGATAATCAATGTAATTGCATAAAATCGAAAACTTACTTTAAGCATAGTGCATATGGTTTCAATCAATTCAACGGTATTCGATAAGCGACTCGATGAGTCGTACGTCCTCTTCGACATCTGCTGCCTCATTTTCTTCTCCAAAGCCTGCGTCTGCGTCTTATTCAAACATCCCCATCCTGTGGTATAAGTGAAGCCAAAAGAGGATTGAATCAAAGCCATCACGAAAACACTCGCAACGAGAAAAACGATCAACCTAAAATTTGTTATTATTCAATGATTTTTCCATATATTTTTATACCAATACTTTGATGACATATCGAGTGCGCAAAAGAAAAGAGTTTATCTCAACGAAGTCGAAGATGAACTGGGCGAAATTTACAGAAAATCTGCGCCTTTTATATCTCCCTTTTTTTCTCTCTCTCTGGTGGGGGCAGTTATTTGATCATTTCTTTTTTGTTACGCAAATATTACAGTGAGAATTCCCCTGTGGTTTCGGCAGATGAGATTCATTAAAATAATTCAAATTAGACTGCAAAACAGAAACTCGTTAATTAAGATATTCGTAATAATTTTTTCCTTTTCGAATCAGCTGATTTTGACATGTTTAATTTTTTTTGACATGTGTCAATTTTTGTGTCAATTGTTTAAATCCAATTCGTTGACATGTCAAAACTTTGACATTTTAAATGTTAGTTCTGCGGAATCGGTGTTTTCGCAACGGATCGCGTTTGATGGGATTCCCCCAGCGGCGTTAAGCTTAATTAATTAAGATATTCGTAATTATTTTTTCTTTTCGAATCAGCTGATTTTGACATGATTAGTTTTTTTGACATGTGTCAATTTTTGTGTCAATTGTATAAATCCAATTCGTTGACATGTCAAAACTTTGACATTTTAAATGTTAGTTCTGCGGAATCGGTGTTTTTCGCAACGGATCGCGTTTGATGGGATTCCCCCAGCGGCGTTAAGCTTAATTAATTAAGATATTCGTAATTATTTTTTTCTTTTCGAATCAGCTGATTTTGACATGTTTATTTTTTTTTGACATGTGTCAATTTTTGTGTCAATTGTTTAAATCCAATTCGTTGACATATCAAAACTTTGACATTTTAAATGTTAGTTCTGCGGAATCGGTGTTTTTTGCAACGGATCGCGTTTGATGGGATTCCCCCAGCGGCGTTAAGCTTCCTTTTGACGTCCGGGATTCTTTCGAGAGGATCAAAGCAGAAGCGACTGCGGATCCTGAGGGATTTTGGCACGGCGATCGCATATCGTTTGAAAGAAACAAAACGAAAGAAAAAAGTAAGTACATACATAGATATATACACAGGTATTGGGGGCAAATAAAGAGATTATGCCGCAGCGCTTAACGCAAATACGTTTATACGCAAATATACTTTTCTCTTGGTGTTCAGTGATCCCAAAAATGTGAATAATTCGCGTTGAAATTAGTGTAAAAACGTTGACGTAACAGAGCTGTCATTTAGTTGTCACATTTGTATCCTAGATGTCACCAGTTTCGTTTATTACTATAAATATGATTATTTTGTGTTAAGTATATACAAAATCTATTAGAATACGATAAAAGCAATATGAAATCACAAATTAACAACTTTTTACAAGCAATTTTTTTAAAACAATCAATTTTTTTTAATAAATATGGCAACTCACATAAATTTTAAATAAATATGACAACTGTCATAAATGACATAACGATAATATTTCATTTTGTTATTGCCAGGCGCATCCACAATTTAATTGAAATTGAAATATTTATTTTAGTTTTTTTTGTGCGTTTTTCTTTCGGAATCTGTGTTTGCTTGAGAATCAAAGAAAACCCGTAAATGTCTGCTGCCCACGCATTTGGCTACATTACATTTCTAATGCAAATATCGAAGAAGATTTCGTGACGTCCAATCGGATTTTCTCGCTGCTCGAATTCGGTATAAAAAGAAAATCCGCTTCGGACAATTCATCATTCCTACTTGCATTCATTTCCAGTCTTGACATCTCCTCTAAACGCAATGGAAATCTTAAAGTAATTAACAATTATTATGACAAAAGTATAATCTTCAACATTTTTTTCCTCTAGGAATCGGGTTATAGTTGCTGTCATTTTCGTGATCATTTTCTTGTTAGAAATTGAGGCGCAGCAGAGTTTCTCAAGACATTGGTGCTCTCCTAGCGGAAAGAAAAGGTCCTTCTTCCGCACCCTCTACGTAAGTTAAAAAATAACAAAAACATTTTTTTTTCTCTAAATTTTCTCCATTTTTAGCAAATGCTCGCAATGAACAAACCGGAAATCTGCAATCCGACCACTCCAGTTCCACCAAGACGCGGTTGAAATGTTAAAAACTTAAAGACAACGTAAATTTGAACTCTCGACCTCCGAAATGTTACATTACCTAAACTAAATAAATGATATATATATAAAAAAAACAATTTACGTATTTTATTTTGTGCACTGAAACTAAATAATACTTTCAACTGTTTTCGTATTCAATTGTTTGCAAATATCTGCACGTAATCCGATTAAAAATTATTATTCGTTGTCAATGGAAACGTCGAACAAAAGCTGCGACGCAATTGATTTCGTCCATCCATTTCATTCGGATAGTTTTAAACAGGAATTATTGTAATAGAAGAAGAAGTAAAAAAAAACAAACATTGATTTATGATTTAAAAACATTCAATTCATTTTGGAGCGTTAGAAAATTCAAAATCTTACAGATAAACTTGTATTTCACTTGTGATCCATGTGCAAAATAAGTTGCATAACTTCTTAATATCAATGTTTCATAAGTAATGGCTTCAATTTTTTTTGTGTATTTTAATTGTTTAGAAATAAAAATGTTGGTTTTGTTAATGTTAAAGTTAGCGTTAATTTTGTGGATTATAGTTTAAAATTACATTAATCTACAAAACGTTATTGATTCAAATTCGAATTTTGACAAAAATAAATATAATTTGACATATGTCACATTTGACATTTACAACCCATTTGATAATTTAACTAAATCAATCGATTGTTGCATTATTAATATGAATATTTGATGTAAATATTGCGACATGTGTTTCGTAAATTTGCCTTCAATATTTAATGTCGAAATCATCCACTAATCAAGAATAAATCACTGTTTAACAGAGTATAATATGAAGCTTTGAGAGAGGAAAAAATAAATCAATGAACGTGATATTCGGTCTGTAATTTATAAAAAAATATTGTTTGCAACGAAGGAGTTGAGTTTGCTATAAAATCATGAACGATTTCATTGAAATTCGTTTGTTGGAAAATGAAGGGCAAGAAAGAAAATACAGAAATCCTCGACGGATTTTTTATGATGTTCCGATATTACGGAATATATCCGAAGCGAGGAGCCGCAATAAACGACATCAAATTCCACGTGCAATTCATGATAATCATTTTCTTGTATTCGAACGCAACAGTGGGAGGTGCAATGCTCCTTTTCCAAATGTTTTACAGTAAAAAATTAATGAATATTTCATATTTTTTGTTAAAGTAATTGAGGTTTCGTTGCAGGGAAGGAGCACATTTTGATCAAAGATTTATTGGATAACCTTGTGGTTTTAGCAGCCGGAATTGGAATGCACACGGTGATTTTGGTGTTCAGGAAGACTATGCCTCTGATGCAGAAGATAATTAGAAAAATTTCGCATACCGGTGATAGGTTCGGTGTGCCGGATGATATGTGGAAGAGGAACAAGCAGATGGAGTTGTTCGGTTACGCCTCGTTCTTTTACACTTTTTTTGGAGCAATCTCTTACACTCTGGTGGGAATCTTGGATATTGACAGTTGCAAGCAGCAGAAGATCGAATACAATCTTTCCAAAGTTTGCGGTATGATGCAATTGACGTGGATGCCCTTCGACATCGAAAGTTTTCCCAATTACCAAATATTCTGGGTGCTTCAGTTCGTCACTTGTACGGCCATAGCTTCGCTGACGCTCGTGATTTCCGTTTTTCTCTTCTCGATAAACGAGATGTTCATGACGAGAATCGCGCATTGGAGAGACAAATTCAACGTCACTTTCAATTTGAAAGACGAAGAGGAGCAGAGGGCTCACCTCAATCTCTGCATCGAATACCATTTCGAGATAATAGAGTTAAGAAAACTCATTCTAACATTCAATATAATAACTTCAAATTTTGACAGGTTGTACCAGCAAATCAACCTTTACTTAAGTCCGCTGATTTTGACGCTCCTGTTGATGGGATCGCCCATCATCAGCATCATAAGTTTCACGTTTATGCTCAAGCATGAGCTGAAGAGTGTCTTTCACGTCTTCGGTTGGATCACTAGCACGTTTCTCATCTGCTACTGCGGGCAGCGATTGATCGACGAAGTCTGCTTGTCAATAATTACATTCTACATCTTAATTCTATTGATTTCAGAGCGAAAAGATGACCATGGAAGTGTACAGCTGCAAATGGTACAATGCAAAGTTAACATTCCAGAAGGATATATACTTGATGATACTGAGGATGCAAAAGTTGATGGTTCTGAATGCGTACGGATTTTTTGACGTTTCCTTGGCGCAGTTCTGCTCCGTACGTCAACAATTGTCAATTTCAATTGTTTCAAGAAAATTACTAAAAAATTATTGATTTTCAGATGATGCAGAACTCATACTCGTTTTTGGCTTTACTCAATCAAACTTACAAGGAATAATGGAAATATTTGTTAAGATTCAACAATGTCAATAGTTTTTACAGTCTATTGCTTTAAAATCAATTTATGTAATATTTTCCTAAATAGGAATGTATCTATACATACTGGATTCCCCAAAAATTCAGCTTTCATATGCATATATTGGATTCATTCTATCTATTATAGTTTTCGAGTACAATGAAATGTGAAAACACTGCTTTTTCGAACGTTCTAATTTTAATTTTTCAACTTTGAACGCGCATTACAGCAATATGGATAAGAGCACAGAAATGTATCTATACTTGCTGGATTCCCCAAAACATTCAGCTTTCATGTGCATATATTGGATTAATTTTATCTATTTTAGTTTTCGAGTAAATCAATTAAATGTGAAAACACTGCTTTTTTGAACGTTTTCATTTAAATTTTTCAACTTTGAACGCGTATTACAGCAATATGGATAAGAGCACAGGAATGTATCTATACTTGCTGGATTCCGCAAACATTCAGCTTTCATATGTATGTATTGGATTCATTCTATCTATTATAGTTTTCGAGTAAATCAATGAAATGTGAAAACACTGCTTTTTCGAACGTTTTTATTTAAATTTTTCAACTTTGAACGCGTATTAAAGCAATATGGATAAAAGCACAGGAATGTATCTATACTTGCTGGATTCAATAAATCAATAAAATGTGAAANNNNGCATATATTGGATTTATTCTATCTATTATAGTTTTAGAGTAAATTTAACAAATTACATAAGTTACACATTATAATGTTACATATTAAAGTTTTCAATTTTAACGAATAGTTTGTGTTCATAACCAATTTATCGCGTACTATTTTCAATTTGTTATTTTTGTGTGTGAAAAGTTCATGTTGCGGCACAATTCGTATATTTTCACATTACTTTTTTGTGTGTGTGTGTGTATTTTTATGTTCGCTTCGCTATACGAAAGGGGGGGAAGCTCGGCTTAAATTGTTTTAATTCCCCCGGAACTGTTTTGTTGATAATTAATGGACCCGAAACGAATATATCCAGTCAGCTCGCAATTCGCTTTATGCACACACATATACATATATATAACTGGGTGATTCCAGTGATTTACATACTTTTAAATATCAAACGAATTATCCGAACGTTTTATACATGAATTTGCAATACTCCATTTTTTTTTTAAATTTTAATACAATAAATAATGTTGTTTTGTACATAATTATACATAATATGTTTAGATATTAGTCATTTTTAATTATAAAGAATTAGCTGAAAATTGAAAAATATAAAATGTCATAAAAGAAACGTTACCATTTCGTTGCCATCGAATTTATTTCCTATTGAAATTATAATTTTTTTTATTTTATATTAGTGTAGTCTATATAGTGAAATTGTATACAAATGATATAAAACAAAAGAAAACCTATGATATTATGATTTAAATTTTGATACAAAATTAGTTGAAATTTCTAATATAAAGTGTCATAAAAGAAACGTTACCATTTCATTTCCTTGCAATTCATTTCCTAATGAGATTATAAAAGTTTTTATTTAAAATTAGTGTAGTGTACATATTGAAATATTATAATAATGGAATAAAATAAAAGAAAACCCATGATATTACAATTTAAATTTTGATTCAAAATTTGTTGAAAATTCTAATATAAAGTGTCAAACGTTACCAATTCGTTTCCTTCCAATTCACTTCCTATTGAAATTCTAAAAGTTTTTATTTAACATTAGTATAGTGTACATAGTGAAATATTATACTAATGAAATATAATAAAAGAAAAACTATGATTTTACGATTTAAATTTTGATACAAAATTTGTTAAAAAAATTAATATAAATTGTCATAAAAGAAACGTTACTATTTCGTTTCTTTCCAATTAATTTCCTAATGAAAGTATAAAAGTTTTTATTTAACATTAGTGTAGTGTACATAGTGAAATATTATACTAATAAAATAAAACAAAAGAAAACTTATGATATTACGATTTAAATGTGTGCGGACACCGAAATGGGTGAGCGATTGCGTAACGAGTGCGTCAACGGGAATTTTAATAAAGCATCGATGATGAACGAAAATATAGATGTATGAAAAACAAACAAACAAACAAAAAAAAGGAAACAGGAGATGCTTGTTAAGTGCGTTGGACAGAGATGAAGGTGGGAGTGTTTCGGTGGATAGGTGGGAACAGCACCTATCTATAATGGGCTTTGGCTTGACGAGTCCGAACGTATTTATTTTAATCCCTGCCCGTCAAGTGTGTTTATCCTTTCTCCATCTCTGTCTCTCTCCGTCCTCTTTTACTCGCTCTCTCTCTCTCTCTATATATATATACTCCTCTGCCCCCGCCGCCTCCGCCACTCCACGAGAGAGCGTTTACTTAACGTCAATCGCAATAGATTCCCAACACACAGACGTCCGAATTAATCGCATTATAATCGAACTTTGCCAATAATTACATAACAGCCGCCTCTCTGTTATGTAATGAGAGTGTGTGTGCGCGCGCGAGAGTGCGTATACGTCTCTTTCAGCAGGATTAAGATCATCTCTCTCTATCCAATGCACGCGAGCTTCCAATTCCTGCTGGCATTCGGCAAGTGGCAGAGTGGAACGGCAGGATAAAACAGATTGGAGTAAGGGAGACAAATATATAAAGACAAATCCAATGTCGTCGTCGTCGTCGTAGTCTAGACATGCACGTACATACAACGAGCTGTTAGTGTGTGTGGGTGGGTGTGTGTTATGCCATGTGTCTGTTTACACACGTGCTGAGTTAACAACTCACCTTTTCCGTCCAATATAAACACACGGTTCATCTGCAGCGCAACCAACCATTAATTAATTTATCCAGAAGTCTCACACACACAAAACACAAAACACACACACCTTTCTCTAAGTATATTTGCACGTCACGCACGAATTTCTCCCCCGAAATCTTGAAAACCGACAGTTTAACACCTCTTCAATCCATCCAAACTCACGTAAAAACCAACAAAATCAACATCGACATTATCAAATCAATTTATCTGCAATGATTTGAATCAAATCTTTCCCAAAAATAACTTGTGAGTGAGTTGAACTTAAGTAAAAATTACTAAAGTATTTAAGAAAGTAAACAATTTCTTAAAAACTCAAGTTTCAAAAACTTAATTTTATATAATAATAATTATTTTATGATACAATATATTTGTTGATTTAATTGTTAATGAAGTTATAGTTTTTAATTGCGTCATTAACTGATTTGTGTGAGGTAAAGGTTAGGTTAGGGCAGAGGTTAGGTTGGGGCAGTTTATGTTAGGGCAGGTTAGGTTAGGGCAGGTTAGGTTAGAGCAGGTTATATTAGGGCAGGTTAGATTAGGACAGGTTAGGTTAGAGCAGGTTAGGTTAGGGCAGGTTATATTAGGGCAGGTTAGGTTAGGGCAGATTAGGTTAGAGCAGGTTATATTAGGGCAGGTTAGATTAGGGCAGGTTAGGTTAGGCAGGTTAGGTTAGGGCAGGTTATATTAGGGCAGATTAGGTTAGGGCAGGTTAGGTTAGGGCAGGTTAGGTTAGAGCAGGTTAGGTTAGGGCAGATTAGGTTAGAGAAGGTTAGGTTAGGCAACATTGTGTCGGACGAGGGTGGTCGAGTGCGAACAACGGCAGAGTTAAGTGTTGAACAGAGGTGGAAAAATAGCACGCAAACAGCAACATATGTGGAGGAACTCTTCCAGAGCATTGAAGAAACTCGTCGAAAGGTAGTCGAGAACGCCTATTGGCATAAAATTAGGGCAGGTTAGGTTAGAGCAGGTTAGGTTAAGGCAGATTAGGTTAGGGTAGGTTAGGTTAGGGCAGGTTATATTAGGACAGGTTAGGTTAGAGCAGTTTATATTAGGTACATTATATTAGATTAAGTACATTGAATTGAGCAATCACGTTTTTGCAGAGGAAGACTTCTAGCAGTGAGGAAACAACGAGGGAGGAGACGCCGAATGCGAGAGAAGAATCGCACTCTATAACGGAACGAATGGCAATGAGAGAAAAGGATGTGTGTCGGTAACGGTTTAGATTATATAATAGTAATAATAATAATAATAATATGTTGTAGCGTGTAGTTTTAGTATACAGTTGTTGTTGTTGGCTTCCGGATCAGATGATTTATGCAAATGCACAGTTAATGCTGAGAAGAGTGTGTGAGAGAGAGAGAGAGAGAGAGAGAGAAAAAAGCGAGGAAATGGCCCAGACTCACGCTATTTGTTACCGACATTGTAATTTTAATGGCACTATATTAAAGTGAAATTGCGTTTTGTTGCAAGGAGTAATGAGAAGCGAGCAAGTTGTGCATGCATGGGGTGGGTAGCTCAGATAGATATCGTTTCGGGTGTTTCGTTATTAATGTGTCCGCGTAATGATGCTCGACTGCAAATTGCGATGAAATAGTGCACATAGTATGAGTTAAGCTATTGTTTCTCTAAAAACACAATTCTCTTTTCTTTCTTAAAACCATTGGAATTTCTATTATTAAACTCTCTGTTAATTTCTTGTAAAGCATCAATACTAGAAAGATGAATGAATGTGAAAATTAAAACTGAATATTTGTAGAATAAAACGTGTGTAATACTTTCATCGAAAATGAATCAATGAAAAATAAAGTCTCGAAAAAGCATGTTTCACATTTTTATTAGTTTTTCAAAATGTACAAAAGATTGAAAGCAGATTGAATAGGTAAATATAAGTTGAATATTTAGGGAATGAAACGTGCTTAGTTCAAGTATTGTAGATCTAGTCGTTTGGTCGTTTCAACAAAAAAAAATGAAGTTTTGAAAATCGGGCTTTCACATTTTCTTGAATTTCTCGAATACTACAATGAATATATAGAATATGGAAAGTGTTAATTAAAGATGAATAATTGAGGATTTAAATGTGTTTGGTGTAATATTTGAACTCCAAATTGAATGCAAAGAAATATGAAGTAAGGAAAAATTTTAATTAAACTTTGAAAAAAGTTGTGTCTTCACATATTCATAATTTTG